AGTGTGAACTCGATGCTGGGGGCCTCGCGTGGACTAACTTGGTAAATTCTCACAACGGTCCTGGAAATTAGGGACTCTCATCCTTCTCTGAGTCCCTGGGTGAGCCGACAGGTTGGTTGTTCAAACCCACCCAGAGACACTTTGGGAGACAGCTCTGGAGACCTGCTTCTGAAAGGTCACAGCCCTGAAAACCCCTTGGAGCAGTTCTACTCTGCACATATGGGGGCGCCATGCATCGGAATCGACTCAATGGCAACCACCACCACCACCACCACCACCACCATGCTAGTTTAAACAGAGGGAAACTGAGGCACTGAGGGGCTAAGAAGGAGGTTAAGCAGCTGAGGAGAGATCCTGGCCGCTGACCCCTATGCTGTTCTGCCCCTCTAATGTCTGGGAGAAGGCAGGCTGATGCATTAAGAGTCCCCGGACAAAGTGAGCAGAGCTGCCTGGCCGGCCCCACAGCCGCAGGGGGCCGAGGCCGAGGTCAAGCATGAGGGACCTCCAGCAGCAGGTGCTCGAGGTCCCAGCGGCATCCAGGTTCTTCATCCTTCACCAGCTCATGCCCTCTTTTGTTCAACAAATACAGCATGCATCCAAACACGAGAGGAGACCGTTTCCCCAAGAAAAGACTCCTCAGACAACAGGAGTCGCCACCTCGCAAGTGAGCGGGTCCTCCTGGAGTCCCTCGTGTGAGGAGATGGGCCCTCAGTTATCTTCCTGGGTTTGAATCCCAGCTGAGTGACCCTGGGCAAGGTACTTCACCTGACCGTGCCTCAGTTTCCTCCTCTGGAAATGGGGGTAAGAGCAGGATCCATCTCATTGGGCTGCTGTGAGGATAAAATGGGGCCAGATCTGTAGGCCCAGGTGGAGCAGCCGGCAGGAGAGGTAGGGCTCCTCGTGCTGGCTGCGGCCACCCTCACTGTCTGGGGAGCACACAGCCTCAGTCAATGCTGGTGTGGGGTACTTTAGAGGTCCCTGACCAGAACCATCTGGAAGAAGGGAGCAAAGTACCGACAGCTCACTGTTCTGTGGTGAGGAGTACCTGAGTTAACACTGGAGGCAGAGGGCTTACTTACAACACTGCTTGACAGAGTCGTTGTTAGGTGCCGCTGAGGCAGTTCCGACTCCCAGCGACCCCGTGGACAACAGAACGAAACACTGCCCGGTCCTGCGCCGTCCTCACAGTCCTTGTTATGCCTGAGCCCATTGTTGCAGCCACTGTGTCAGTCCAACTCGTGGAGGGTCTTCCTCTTTTTCGCTGACCCTCTACTTTACCAAGCAGGATATATGCAGCTCTTCCCCAGCTGTCTTCTGAGCGCTTTCCAACCTGAGGGGCTCATCCCCCGGCACTATATCAGACAGTGTTCCGCGGCTGTTCATAAGCTTTTCACTGGCTAAATCTTTTCAGAAGTAGACCACCAGGTCCTTCTTCCCAGTCTGTCTTAGTCTGGAAGCTCTGCTGAAACCTGCCCACCATGGGTGACCCTGCTGGCGTTTGAATACTGGTGGCCTAGCTTCCAGCATCACAGCCACACGCAGGCCCTTGCGGGAGGACAAACGGAGGTAAGGGACGAGAACGAGCTCTCACGCTCTGGGATAAGTGTCAGCAACCGCATACCATTTAGAAAAACATGTTTCATCTCCAGTAATTTAGCTGGGAGTGAAGAGAATGTTTTCTGGAACACCGGGTTAGAGGACCCCAAAGAGCCTCTAATGACGACAGACATACAGCTCCAGGATGTGCAGGGAGGGTGTGAATAAAACAGCCCCGTGAAATGGGAGGGCATGGGCAATCCAGCAATTCGAAATTCCTATGTTATTTTATGCATATGATTTAAGAAAAGGTACCTGTAACTAAGTTAAATAAGTATCATAAGGAACCATGAAACTATTCCACTTGTACCCCCAAATATTTCACAGTTGAGTTTACCTCTCTTTATACACACATAAACCAAAAACCAAACCCCCCGCCGCTGAGGTGATTATGACTCGTAGCAACCCCACAGGGTCTCCCAGGCTGTGATCTACGGAAGCAGACTGCTACATCTCTCTCCCGCGGAGCGGCTGGTGGGTTCGAATCACTGACTTTTTGGTTAGCAGCCAAACACTTAGCCACTGCGCCAATAGTAGAAAGCCTCTTTGGATCTTACTGTTGGGAAAAAGAGTGCTGTGAGTTGTTCAGGGTTATCATAAATCTGGTACACATGGTATTTTCTGGGCTTCTTCTACATGCCAAGCCCTGCCTGTGTGGGGCTCAGGCCTCATGGTATCCACTTACTGGGGTTGCTCAGGCCTCACGGTATCCCCTTATTGGGGTGGCTCAGGCCTCACGGTATCTCCTTACAGAAGCTAAAACAAGAGCCATGGCTTATATATCCATTGACAGAGAACCCAGTGTGCCTGGCCAGTGCTGTTTTGTGACCAGGACAGAAGCTTCTGCCCTCGTGGCGCCTGCCCTCCGGTAGGGGAACCAGGGAGTGGAGCAGGGTGAAGTGACATGGAATGAGAGCAGGGAGCAGATCTGGAGGAAGAAGGCTCCAGGCAGGGAAGACAGCAATGCAAAGGCCCTGAGGCGGGCAGGCGCCTGGCGTGTCTGGGGGTGGGGAGAGGCCAGTGTGGCTGCAGCAGAGTGAGTGAGGGGAGCGGGGGGAGGGGACGAGGGCAGAGAGGTAGGGCCTGGTCCACCTGCTGGGCTCAGTGTGAGCCTTTATCAGCAATCTGGGGTGACAGTGGGATAGCGCTCCCCTGGGGGCAGAGGGGAGCCGCTGGGGGTATTAGGCAGGGGAGAGGCATGATCAGAATCTAATCCTCAGAAGTCCCCTCTGGCTGATAGCAGGGCGCGTGAACTGGGTTCTCAGTGTGAGATCAGCGCGCTTGCCTGCCAGCAGCCCTGGGGACCCAGGTTCTATATTCTGACACCTCTTTCCCTCTGAGCTCTGGGTCACCCACAGCTGTGAACAGCCTGCTGCCACTGCTTCATCCAGGTCATGAAAGAAGAGCGACGAAGAGCAGGGAGGAGGCGGGCAGGGCCCCCCCATGCCCGACACAGCAGGGGGGAGGTGCACAGGGCCCCCAATGCCCGACAGAGCAGGGAGGAGGCAGGCAGGGCCTCCCGTGCCTGACAGAGCAGGGGGGAGGCAGGCAGGGCCCCCCCATGCCCGACAGAGCAGGGAGGAGGCGGGCAGGGCCCCTGTGCCCGACAGAGCAGGGAGGAGGCGGGCAGGGCCCCTGTGCGCGACAGAGCAGGGAGGAGGCGGGCAGGGCCTCCCGTGCCCGACAGAGCAGGGGGGAGGCGGGCAGGGCCCCTGTGCGCGACAGAGCAGGGGGGAGGCGGGCAGGGCCCCTGTGCCCGACAGAGCAGGGGGGAGGCGGGGAGGGCCTCCCGTTCCCAACAGAGCAGGGAGGAGGCAGGCAGGGCCTCCCGTGCCCGACAGAGCAGGGGGGAGGCAGGCAGGGCCCCCCCATGCCCGACAGAACAGGGAGGAGGTGGACAGGGCCCCCTGTGCCCGACAGAGGAGGGGTCTTCTACCAGGCTCCCTGGGCTCGGGTCTGAGCGCCATCCCTTACCTACGTGTGACCCTAAGCCTCAGTTCCCTCATCTCTCACAGGGCTGTTAGGAAGACTCAGTGAATTCATGCATGTAACAGAACGTAGAACCGAGCCTGGTATGCGGCGGGTGTCAGCAAATGTTAGATATTACCTTTTCCTATCTTAAAACAAAACAAAACTCTCTTAACCACATACCTTTTTCTCTTTCTTTTTATGGCAGAGCCCCTCAGATGAGCTGTGCCTGTTTGCTGCCTCCAATTCCCGACCTACCCTTCTCTCCTGAACCCTTGTGAGGGCCCTCTGTGAGGCCCCATCCTATGCTCTGACCTGGTCCCTCGCCCTGACCCCCCGGCTCCTCCGCCTGCACTGGCTGCCCCTTCTCAGCCTCCTCTGCCGGCTCCTTCCAGTGCAGGGCTCTGGGCTGGTCCTAAGCCTGTCCCCTCTAGCCACCACACTCCCTCCCTGGGCAAGCTCTTCAGCCACCTGGCTTGGTGCTGATGACACCTGTTTGAACGGCGTTCCCTCAAAATTCACGCCCTTCCCGGAACCTCAGAACGTGGCCTTATTTGGCAACAGGGTCACTGCAGATGTGATAAATTAACATGAGGTCACAGCGCAGCAGGGTGGGCCCTCAATCCAGTGAAGACAGGTGTCCTTACAAGATGGGAAGAGACACACAGGAAGAAAGCCACGTGACCGCAGAGGCAGAGATGGAAGTGATGCGTCTACAAGTCAAGTAACACCAAGGGTTGCCAGGAACCATCCAAGCTACAAAGAGGCAAGGAGGGTCTTCCCTCAGAGCCGTCAGCGGGCAGGCCCCAACCAGCACCTTGATCCTGGCCTTCTCACCTGCAGAGCCGTGAGACAGTGCACGTCTGCTGTTTTAAGCCGTCCAGTTTACGGAATTCTCACGGCAGCTCTAGGATGCCAGGACACCACCTGTGAGATCACGTCCCTCTTCTGCTGCACATCCTCACTTAGAACCAAAGCCACAGCCCCCACAGATGGCCCACGAGACCCCACATGCTCTGCCCCCACGGCCTCTCCGACCTCACGTCCCACCAGCACTCCCCTTGCTCACACTGTTCCTGCCACGCTGGCCTTCCTCTCCCAGGCCAACCACGCTGCTGCCCCAGGGTCTCTGCAGCCACTGTTCTCTCTGCCGGGGAGACTCTTCACCCAGATACCAACAGTGCTGAGCGCCACCTGACCTACTTTCTGCTTTTCCTGTTTACCCTATTTATTGTCTGGCTCCCCAGCCAGAATGTCAGCTCCCTGAAGGCAGGGATCTTCGTCTGTCTGGTTCACAGCTGTATCCCAGTGTGCAGACCAGCACCTGGCACAGACTTAGCTGCTGAAGCAGCGAGTGAAGCACCACCCTCTGCCCTGCCCCAGGGATGCCCAGGCTCGACTCTCGCAGGTGGCTTGCTGGGCGTTCAGGCACTTACTTCTTCGGGTCAGTGAAGGGAAGTGGCCGTGGCGGGGGCTCATCAGTTCTCTTCCACCCTGCTGGGTGCTTACTGCGCACAGGCTGCTTGGAGAAGAAGGACTTGGGGACAGAGGTGGAGAGCTGGAAAGGGCTGGCCTGCGCCAGCTGGGAGGGCCGAGGAGTCTCCGCGCTGGCAGCTTTGTAAACCTGAGAGGGGCAGCCAGCCCTTGAGCCCATGTCGCTGCAAAGCAAAAACGAAAAAAAAATGAAAAAAAAAAAAAAAAAAAAATGAAGCCCATTCCACATCTGGCAAAGCTTATCTGTTTAAATTTACTCTTGGGAAACAAAAAAGTTCATTTACACAAGTGACACGCAAATACATCATTGCCGTGAAAAATCCCAACAATACAGAAGTCTATACAGAGAAAACGTAAAGCCGCCTGCATGGCTGCAATCTCACCCTGGAAATTCCCGGCAAGCACATCCCATGTCTCTGTGTCTCTGTGGGAATCTAAAAAAGGCACCCTCCTCCCCCATGGGTGGACACACCCCCAGGGTTCCCTTGTCCGGGGCAAACCTACACAGCTGAAACTGGGGGTCCCGTCCAACTCTCGAGGTACCCATGGCTCTATTTCTTTCTTAACCTTTTCCTGAGCATTAGAAATAGACGTGTGCACAATCAGAGGTAAAGGACTGTTTTTAGGGGATGGAAGGGTTATGTTTTTACATAATTGGGATCATACTAACACACTGTTCTGAAATTTATGTTCTTTTAAACTTAAGAATATGTTATGCCACATAGCCTATTCATTCATCAAATGTTTTTTGAGCACCTGCTATACATCATATACCATTCCAGCTGATCTAATCTAAGACCACAGCTTGATATTCCAAGCTCTTAATTCCTGTTGAATCAATGCTACAATGAACCTAGTTCCGTCAGCTGGGACCCAACTCTTGGTGACCCAAATGTGTACCCTGCTTAGGCAAATCAACTTTTTAAAAGTTTTTAATGAAATTCCAATTCCATTTCAAGAAAGGGGTATTCAATGAGAAAATTAATACCCTTGGAGTATAAATCAGTGCATCCTTTTTTGAAAGTCAATTTAACAATATTAAGAGGTGGGACTCTGGACTATGGCTGAAGGAGACAGACAAGTCCTCTCACCTAAAAGGACAGAACTGACAAAAACAACTGTTTCAGCACTATGGAACTTGACTGACCAAATACATACAAAAATCAGAGACACACTTATGCTTGAAAATTGCTGAAGCTTGGATAAGGACAGTGGGAATTTGCCATGTTCTGGCTGGAGCTCTTTGCATTCCCATGCCAGCCCGCTGAACCCAGGAAGCTCTGCCAGAGCTGGGGCAGGCCGTAAGAAGCAGCAGCTGGAAGAAGCAGCAGCTGCTCTGCCAGAGCTGGGGCAGGCCGTAAGAGGCAGCCGCTGCTATGCCAGAGCTGGGGCAGGCCGTAAGAGGCAGCGGCTGCTCTGCCAGAGCTGGGGCAGGCCGTAAGAGGCAGCCGCTGCTATGCCAGAGCTGGGGCAGGCCGTAAGAGGCAGCGGCTGCTATGCCACAGCTGAAGTAGGCTCACTGAATTGGGCAGTGGGTGCTGCCTGTGCCCAGTGGCTTTGTTACTGGAAGTGACAATCTGGGAGGCAGGCAACAAGGGAGGTTCAATGACTCTCCCAGTCTGAGGTTGGGGTTGTGATTGGGACAAGCATATTCACATACAGCTAAAACCACAGAGAGCCCGAGACGGCCACATGCTTCTGGCCGACTCTGAGACGGTGCACAGGAGACTCACAGTGGCCCAATGGCAGCCTTGAAAACGGCCTGACTACTGACTGCATTCCTTTATGAGGCACACTCGGATCCGTCGGCAGAGAACAGAAGCCTCACTAGCTCAAGGTGGTTGAGCACAACCTCTGTGCAATCACTGGCTGACCTCTAATCTACACAGACATAGGGTGACCCCTAGGAAGCCAATCTTTTGGTGGATTTTTTATTATTTCTTTTCTTTTCTTTTTTTTTTAATATTTTATTGTACTTCGGGTGAAGGCTTACAGAACAAATAGTTTCTCATGAAACAGTAGTACACATGTTGTTTTATGACATTGGTTAACAACCCCATAACATATTAACTCTCTAAATTCTCAACCTTTTTTTTTTTTTTTGGTGAAAATACACATAGCCAAAGATACACTGTTTCGAAAATTTCTACATACACAGTTCAGTGACATTGACTACACTCTTCCAATTGTGCTGTTATTCTCACTTAAGATGAAGGCTTGCAGAACAAAATAGTTTCTCATTTAACAGTTACTACACATGTTGCCCTATGACAATGGTTAACAGTCTCACAACACATCAACAATATCCTTACTCAACCTTGGGTTCCCTATCACCAGTTTCCTTGTCCCCTTCTGCTTTCTGGCCCTTGTCACTGGACTCCTGTACCTCGTTGGTCTCATTTGGTTTCACGGGGCTGTCCACTCCCAGGCTGAACAGTGAAGCTCGGAGGTAACTTCACCACTGAGCTAAAAGGGTGTCTGGGGGCCATACTCTTGAGGTTTCTCCAGTCTCCTTTAGGCCAGTAAATCTGGTCTTTTTTTTGTGAGTTAGAATTATGCTCTACATCCTTCTCCAGCTCTGTCCAGAACCCTCTGTTGTGATCCTGGTCAGAGCAGTCAGTGGTGGTAGCCGGGCACCATCTAGCTGTACTGGACTCAGTCCGGTGGAGGCCTTGGTAGCTGTGGACAATTAGTCCTTTGGACTAATCTTTTCCTTGTATCCTGTTCTCTTCATTCTCCCTTGCTCCCGAAGAGATGAGACCAGTGGAGTATCTTAGATGGCCACTCACAGGCTTTTAAGACCCCAGACACTACTCACCAAGGTAGAATGTACAGCATTGTCTTTATAAGCTGTGTCATGCCAATTGAGCTAGATGTTCCCCGAGACCACGGTCCCCACAGCCCTCCGCCCAGCAATTCTGTCCCTCAGGGAGTTTGCATGTGTCTATGCGGCTTCCATGACCTTTAGGAAGCCAATCTTAAAAATAAAAATAACAACAATAAACCAAGAAGAGACAGCAGCTACACACTGCAGGGTACAGACTTCACAGAGTGAGCCCAAACAAAGAAACAAACAGAACAGCAACAATCACAACCTTCAAGTGGAAAGTAAGGAGAATCCAGAGTTGCTTCAATATATTCTCTGACATGTCCAGTTTTTAACAAAAAAGAGACACACAAAGAGGCAAGAAAGTATAATTCATATTCAGAAAAAATAAGCAGACAATAGAAACTGTCTCTCAGTGTTACCAGAGATGTTGGATTTAGCAAACAAAATTCAAAGCAGCTATTATAGACATACTCAAAGAACTAAAAAAAAGAAATTTTTTTTAAAGAATTAAAAGAAAGTATGACAACAATGAATCAACAAACAGATGTTCAAGAAAGAGAAAAAATGATAAAAAAAGAACGGAAATTCTGTAGTTGAAAAGTACAATAACTTAAATGAAAAATTCACTAAATGTGTTCAACAGCCCATTCAAGAGAGAAGAGACAGTGAACGTGAAGAGCAAAACCCACTGCCGTCAAGTCGATTCCGACTCACAGCGACTTTATCGACAGACCAATAGAAATTACATAATCTGAAAAGAGAGAAAAAAAAATTGAAGACAAGTAAACAGAACCTCAAAGAGTTTGGTTCAGCATCAGGAGTACTAACATACGTGCAATGAATGTTTCAGAAGGAGAGGAGAGAGGGAGGCAGAAGAAACATTTGAAGAAATTATGTCTGATAACTTCCCAAATCTGATGAAGAACATTAACCTACACCCCTAAGAAGCTTAACAAACCCCAAGCAGGATAAATACACAGAGATTCACACCTAGGCAATCAGCTGAAAGGCAAACACTAAGATACAAATTTGGAAAGCAGCAGCAGATTGATCACAGACAGAGGACCATCAACACAATAATAGCTGACTTCTCATTGGAAACAGCGGAGACCAGAAGGCGACGGAACAACATTTTCAAAGTGCCAAAAGAATTGCAACCAAGAATTCTACCCCCAGCGAAACACTGTTCAAACATGGAGGCAAAATAAAGTTATCACCAGATAAACAAAGACTGAGAGAGTACACTGAGCAGATCTGCCTCGCAGGAAATAATAAAGGAAGTCCTCAGGCTGGGAAAAAAAGACTCTGGATGATGACCTCAATCCCCAAGGAGAAATGAAGCACACAATAGTTAAGTATGTGGCTTAAAATAAAAGACTCTACAGATTTATTATTTTATTTCTTCTCAACTTCCTTAAAGACACGAAATTATATAAAGCAGTAATTACAATACTATACTGATGAGTTTGTAACATACATACCTGTAATATATGCTACAAAAATAATACAAAGGAGAGAGGAGGGAATGGAGATTAGTTGAAGAAAAGCTTCTATATTTTACTGGAATCAAATTAATATTAATCTGAATTAGTCTGTGACAAACTTGGATGCAAATTGTAATCCCTAGAGCAACCATTAATAAAATAACTCAAAAAATACTTAAAAAATATTTAAAAACAAAAACAGCAAATATTTAACACAGAAGAAGGCAGTCAAAGAAGAACAGAGAAACAAGATGGTAGACATACGGAAAACAAACGGCAAAATGGCAAATTTAAATCCAACCATATCAAATAATTAAACATAAACGGTTTAAACACTCCAATCAAAAGGCAGAGATTACTGGACTGGCATTAAAAAGTAAGATCCAACTATATACACTGTCAAAAATTTAGCAACATCTATTAATGGGGCAAAGGTCGTGTGTTGGTCGGGGGATGTCCAGGGAGCCATTGGAATGTGTAACACTGGGAATGAACCACTGGAAGGCTTCCACAAGGAGGCAGTAGTATCTGAGCTGAGACCTGAAGGACGAGTAACATAAGCCTGTCACCTGACCTCTCAGAAATTCACATCACAAAAAAACCTGCAGAAGCGTATGGAACATAAAGGACGGTCACTGCAGCATCATTAGTAATCAAGAAACACTGGAAATGCCTTTTAATAGGGCATTAACAGGTCAATTTTGGCACATCTATATGAAAAAACCTATGCGGCCAATGGAAAGAATGAGGTAGATTTCAGTTTATGGATGAGAGCGGATGTCCGAACTATGGTAAATGAAAATAAGGAAGGTGTAAAGAACCACTCTGTCCTTTTTCTTTTTTAAAAAAA